AAGTGACTTGTCCAAGTTGACACAGTTAAGTGACAGAGTCAGTAGTTGACCCCAGGCCTATCTGGATATAAAGTCCATGTTTATGCCACTGTATCAGCATTTCCCAAAACTGATTTTAGGTGAAAGTTAAATAAGCTGTTTTTTTAATTTTAATACTCATGTGTTTATTTTAATGCATGTTAGAAAAACATTTAAGCACATATAAAATCTATAATTTCATGGACAATATTGCGTTAAGACAAGGATGTTTTGTCTCCAACTCCTGGCCTCAGCCATCCTCCCAGCTCGGTCTCTCGAGTAGCTGGGATCACAGGTATGAGCCACCGTGCCCTGCTAAAACAAGGATGTTTTGTAAACTACATTTATTTAGAAAAAAATATACTATGGGCCGGCTGCAGTGGCTCATGTCTGTAACCCCAGCACTTTGGGAGACCGAGGTGGGCGGATCACCTGAAGTCAGGAGTTGGAGACCAGCCTGGCCAACACAGTGAAACCCTGTCTCTACTAAAAATACAAAAAAAATAGCTGGGTGTGGTGGCGCATGCCTGTAATCCCAGCTACTCGGGAGGCTGAGGCAGGAGAATCGCTGGAATCCGGGAGGCAGAGGTTGCGTTGAGCTCAGATCACGCCACTGCACTCCAGCCTGGGCAACAAGAGCAAAATCCCATCTCCCAAAAAAAACAAAAATAGTATGAAGCAAATAATAATAAATGTGGTGCAAGCTGTAGAGAAAATCATAAAAGCAATCTAGAAATGTCTGGGGTCTGGATGACATAATACTACAGCACCGTGCAGCTTCATTCTCAGTTACTTCCAGGAAATTAGGGTCACATAGCGCTGCAGAAAGAACAAGTAAGAATCTTAGACCCGGGCTTTAGCTCTAGATGTGTCCATTTCTAGGACCCCAGACATCTTTGTGACCTCCTTGCTGGGAGGAAATCCAACCTTCCCAGACATTTAAGAACACTAAGAAGACCCTGAATACACAGAGGGGTTTCCGTGTCAGAGAGAAAATAACACCAGGTTTGGGGACCCCAGGGACTCTCTCTGTGATGCTGATAGACCCAAGGCCAAGACACAGCAGAGATCAGTGCTGGGGAGGGTGGGTTGTCCTGTTAAGGGACAGGCGTCCAAATAAACCCTGCTTCTCAAAGCATAGTCTGGGGAATTTAAATGAAGACAGAAAGGAAAAAGGAAGGATGGACTAGGAGGCAGGACTGAGAGGGGAGGGGGCAGAGAGGCTTCCTGGGCAGAGTCCACCCCCATCCATGACCCTGGGAAGTGCTCCTGCCCTGGGAGGACACTCAGCACACAGGGAGGAAGGACAGCAGAGTCATAGTCACAGCAGCCCTGACAAGAGCGTTCCTGGAGCTCAGGCTCTTCCCTCAGCCCTCCCTGCAGAGAGCGCATCCCCTCTGTGAGAAGGCAGGGGCTCCTTCTCACAGGTGAGGGGAGGACTCCTTGGGAGTGGGAGGGAGGAGGGAGCACAGAGACTGACTGGGATCTCCTGGGGAGGATGGGACTCTGAGGGGGGACAGAGGGTTTCTGTTGGAGCCTCAGAGGAGAGGACACCAGAGAGGGACAGGGGTCACACCAGGAAAATCTCAATGATCTGAAGCTGTTAATGGAGAAACAATCTCCATTGTTAACATACTGCAAGTGAATCATCACTGATGAATAAATTCTGAAAACTGACGACAATAAAATCTTATGTCAGGGTAACACTCCAGAAAAAAACAGAACCAGGGCTACTAAACACTGTCCTTACCCATGAACCTCAGAAATTGGCAAATAAATCCCAGGAGGTGGGGGGCCCTGGGAATGCTCATGAACTCATCCACAGGAGTGTGCAGCCTGTCCCAGGCACTGGGGTGCAACCAAGATCACACAAGTCCTTGCCTTCACAGAGCTCACGATCTCATGGGGAGGAAGACAGACACCCAAAGAGATCTAGAATGTGAGGTCAAGTGCTGATAAGAGCCCTGGAGGGAACAGAGCAGGGAAAGGTCAGAAAGGGAAGAAACAGGGTCTCTAGAGGAGGTGTCAGGGGAAGGGTCTCCCAAGGATGCCCTGATGTGAGCAGGATCTGAGGGCAGTAAGGGGTGGGGGCCTGTGCAGACTCCTGGGGAAGAGGATTCCAAACTGGGAAGTGCCAAGGTCAGAGGTGCTGAGGGAATGGGGGTTACGCTGCTGACCTTGACTCAGCAGGACCCACGCGTGCACATGCACATGCACACACTGTCTGTCTGTCTGTCTGTCTGTCTCTCTCTCTCTCTCTCTCTCTTTCTCTCCAGGGCTGGGGGGGTGAAGAAACCTCCTCAGAACCCAAAGCCCCATCTTTCCATCCAAATACATAGGTCCCAATATTGACTGATGCTTTCTCCCCCATCTTAGCCTCACTTTTAACTTTCTGGAACCCACCAACTACTGCCAGGCTCACTATTGAAGCCATGCTGTCCAATGCCACAGAGCGGAAGGAGGTTCTTCTATTCACTCACAATCTGCCCCAGGATCTTATTGGTACAAAGGGGAAAGGGTGGAGACCAAACACCATATTACAGGATATGTAATAGGAACTCTAATAACTACCCCCAGGGTCTGCACACAGCATTCAAGAGACAATATACCCCAATGCATCCCTGCTGATCCAGAATGTCACCCAGGACACAGGATTCTACACCCTATATGCCATAAAGATGAAGAGGAAGTATCTGACCAGTTCCATGTATATTGTGATTTTCCCACAGCCTCTTGACTATTGGGGGTCAGTTCTACTTCACATACATGGGATTGTCAGGCCTGGGCTGTGCCTGTGTCCCCTTCTGCATTATGTCCTACGTTGGGGTTTGAACATTTACTGCAGGACACATACAAGGTACACAAACTTCAACAGATCAGAATTCCTTTCCTGTATCCAGACCCTGCAGACATTCACTGCAGAGGAAGGACAGTCTGATGGGGGGAACTCAGCAGGGGGAGATCAGTCTCAGCCAAGCACCCCATGCCCTCCCCATGGACATGACCCTGAGAAGACCCTGGAGAACTAAGTCAGGGTCTGGCCTGAGGGGTCTATGGAATCCTGTGGAGCTTTGGGGAGCCTATGCCAGGGCTGGGTTGTTGCCTCCTGGGCAGGGCTGACTGGGAGCAACAATTTACCAGCTCTCCAGGCAGTGGCTCCTGGAGCTGGTCACTAGTCAGGGCTCAGCCCCCAGGCCCTCATCTGGGCAAGGACAGAGCCTCAACCTTCACCTGAGACTCAGCATGTATGAGTCCATTGCCCTGGGGGACTTAGGTGACTCCATTGGAAGTTCAGTGTCCCTAGGGAGAGGAACAAAGAAGAGAGGATATGCCCAGCAGCTCCTCCTCCACCTGAAATCAGGTCCAGGGCCCTTTCTCTTAGAGGCAAATAAGCATATGTAAAAAGTAAAGTAGAGATTCCTCTTCAAAGACTTTCCTCCCTGTCTAATTAGGAATAAATAGCAACTTCTCTTAGAAGCAAAATTTACTCAAAGACGTGTGCTAATATTCTTAAATATCTGCTAGCTGTAATTAAAAAAAAAAAATCAATGTATGTTATGTTCTTAGCTCCCACAATTTAGACTAAATATTTGCCCTGGCATGCTTATACTGGTCCAAGCAAGCATTAGGTCATAGCCTGTTCCTCTTCCTTATATGAAGATGTTTTTACCTTTCTCAGCATTCCACAAGTTACTTCCTCCTTGCTTTGTTCTCTGCCTTTGCCTCTTTTAAAAAGTTCTAAGTTGCTAGCCCATCAGGACAGACACAGAATGGGAGGTCCCATTCCAGCCAATGGAAACCGGACACAGCAGTAAGGTAGACACATCAAATTATAAATGACCCTGTCTCCCTTGTTCGGTGTACTCTCGTGGCAAAACTGCTGGCGAGTGTACCCTTTCTGCAGAAAATATAAAAATGGCCTTGCTGAGAAAATTAAATTTATGTTCAAGTGCTATTTCTTTATGGCACCAGGGAACAAGCATTGCAAACACATACATGTTGTTCATCTGGGCAGCTGCCCTATGCACAGCTGAGGTCAAGTAATTGTAAACATTTTGAGGTTAATTCATAAACAACCTTGTAGCCAAATAACATTTATCTTATTTATTGAAAGGAAACTGAGGCCCAGGGAGACAGTCACTGACTAGGGTCACACTGATATGGCTCTGGTGACTGGGGCAATACCAGGATCCTTGGTCTTATGCCAATTTAGATAAAACAACACAGAACATGTGGAGCAAAGAGTTTAATAGGCAAAAAAAGAAGGAAAAAGTTCCCCCATACAGGGACAGAAGGAGGGGGGTTCCAAGCAAAGAGAGGAAACCCCAAGTGTAGCAGAAAACAGCCAGTGATATGAGGAGGCCAGAGGAGGTGGTGTCTGATTTGCACAGGGCTCAGAGGATTGGTTTGACCAGGCATGTCACTCATGTAGCCTGAGAAGAAACTGGCCCTCCCACCCTAGTCTTTTAATATACAAATGCAGGGTGTCTTGACGTTCTACACATGTGGGGATATGTGGGCGTGGCCATGTTGCCAGGCACATATGGTAGCAAGGGCAAGAAGAGGGCGGGAATCACCATATTTGGGTGGACCCAGTTTCCAATGGCCTTCATTTGCATATCAAAGCTTGCCAGCCAGTCTCTAAAAGCTGAGGCTTTTCTGCTAGACAAGAAACATTTCTGGAACTGCTTTAAAAGAAACAAAAACTGGCCGGGCGGTGGCTCACGCCTGTAATCCCAACACTTTGGGAGGCCGAGGTGGGTGGATCACCTGACATCAGGAGTTGGAGACTAGCCTGGCCAACATGGTGAAACTCCGTCTCTACTAAACATACAAAAATTAGCCGGGCGTGATGGTGTGCGCCTGTAATCCCAGCTACTCAGGAGGCTGGGCAGGAGAATCGCTTGAACCTGGGAGACAGGTTGCAGTGAGCTGAAACCATGCCACTGCACTCCAGCCTGGGCAACAGAGCAAGACTCCGTCTCAAAAAAAGGAAAAGAAAAACTTCCCAAGGACCTCCTTTCCTCTCTAGCTCCCTAAAATAATTTCTTAATAATTCCTATAACAACACAGTCCATAGCTGGCAGATTAGAGTCAGGCGAGGTCTGTCTGCAGCCATAGCCCCTTCCTCTCCTCCACTGGGGCTGTGTGAGGCTGCTTGTTATTAGGCATCTGCAGACCTGAGACCAGTCATGGGTTCATCTCCCTTCATCTTGGGCATCCACAGTGCAGGGGCGGAGAGTCTGATCTGAGGAATGAGGAGCAAAAGGAGAATTCATCAGTTTTTACCTGGAACTAAATCCCTTGTGTCAACTATCAGGGTCAGTGTTATGCGTGTCCGTGTGAAGAGACCACCAGATAGGCTTTGTGTGAGCAGTGAGGCTGTTTATTCACTTGGGTGCAAGTGGGCTCAATCCAAAAAAGGAGTCAGCAAAGGGAGATAGGGGTGGGGCAGTTTTACAGGATTTGGGTAGGTAGTGGAAAATTACAGTTAAAGGTGGTTTTCTCTTGTGGGCAGGGGCAGGGTCACAAGGTGCATAGTGGAGAGATCATGAGACTCATTGTCTAGCAGGGGGAATGTCACAAGGTCAATTGATTAGTTAGGGTGGGGCAGGAACAAATCACAACGGTGGAATGTCATCAGTTAAGGCAGGAATTGGCTGTTTCACTTCTTTTGTGGTTCTTCAGTTGTTCCAAGCCATCTGGATGTATATGTGCAGGTCACAGGGGTTATGATGGCTTAGCTTGGGCTCAGAGTCAGTGCCGGGAACATTCCAGGTGTTTGACCTTGAGCAAGACACTCAACCTCCTAGGCCTCAGTTTCCTCACCTGTAGAATTTTAACAAACACTTGGATCTCAGGGTGGTTGTGAGGATGTTTATTCAATGATTAATGTAATTAAAGCCCTTAACAGAGTAGTGCACAGAGCCAGGGCTCAATCAGTGCTATCAACTAGTATTATTTTTTTATGAACTTTGTTATTAGCTAAGTCAAGGAGACCTTGGTTAAAATTTGGTTGTATCATGTACGAGTTCTGTCACCTTCCTTGACTTACTGAGGCACTGTAAGTCTCAGATGCTAACTCTGCAGCTGGGGGTGATGCCCCTTCCCTCAAGGTGATGCGAGGATGAGATGAGCTGTACGTAGGTTGGTGCCCACTGGGCCTGGCACATGGAAGGCCCCTGAAAACAGTCAAAGAGCATCATCCCCACTCATCAGCATTGAGTGGACAGCAAGGGCTAGCTCTGTATGACAATCATGGAATGGAAAAAAAGAAACAGAGGGAAGACCGGGCACTGTGGCTCACGCCTGTAATCCCAGCACTTTGGGAGGCCGAGGTAGACAGATCGCCTGAGGTCAGGAATTCGAGACCAGCCTGGCCAACATGGTGAAACTCCGTCTGTACTAAAAATACAAAAATTAGCCTGGCATGGTGGCACATGCTTGTAATCCCAATTACGAGGGAGGCTGAGACAGGAGAACCGTTTGGACTCAGGAGATGGAGGTTTCAGTGAGCAGGAGATCGCACCACTCTACTCCAGCCTGGACGAGACTCCGTCTAAAAAACAAAAAGAAAAGGCCAGGTGGGGTGACTCACACCTGTAATCTCAGCACTTTAGAAGGCCGAGGTGGGTGGATCAAGAGGTCAAGAGATCGAGATCATCCTGGCCAACATGGTGAAACCCCCGTCTCTACTTAAAATACAAAAATTAGCCTGGCATGGTGGCACACACCTGTAATCCCAGCTACTCAGGAGGCTGAGGCAGTAGAATCACTTGAACCTGGGAGGTGGAGGTTGTAGTGAGCCGAGATCACACCACTGCACTCCAGCCTGGCGACAGAGCAAGGCTCCGTCTCAAAAAAAAAAGAAAAAGAAAAAAGAAAAAAAAATACAGAGGGAAGAGGTGTGAAGTGAGAGGAAGAAGGGGATTTAAAGGCACAGGAGCAGGGCGAGGTGCAGGCACCTGGGGGAGAATGTAGGAGTCGGTGCATCCCAGTATTTCAAGCCTGAGACACAGAAAATGTCTCAGGCTTGAAAACCGCAGAGAGCAAGGGAGTCAGCTATGAGGACATCACAAGAGATCGCACTCAAGCCCCTGCCCTGCAAGGCCCCTCATGGTTCCCCCTGGAACAGACTTGGGCTTCATCCCCTTTGCCTTCCCCTTTCTGCAGAAAAAAATGCCCCAGGCCTTCCTGTGGGGGCCATCGCCGGCATTGTGACCAGGGTTCTGGTTGGGGTGGCACCGGTGGCTGCCCTGGCATGTTTCCTGCTCCTCGCCAGGACTGGAAGTTACTACAGCTTTTCCCCAGCCTCCCTCCCACCTCCCAGTCTGACCCCAGGCCAGGAGGAAGAAGACCCCACCCAGTATTCAGGGCCAGGCTCTCTGAGCCCTCCCCAAGAGATCCTTCCCTCTCATTCCACAGCTCCTCCCTCACCAGCTGCTGACCCTGGGCTGCTTCCTCAACAGCTTCCTCCTCTGTGAATTCAGCCCAGTTAAGGTCTCACCTCTGGGTGTGGTCCTCGTTCCCTCACACAGCAAAGCCACAGCTGCCTGGAGGAAGGGAGTGGGGGAGGGGTGCTCAGTACCCGGTACCTCTTGCTGTTCATTGAATCCACCCACCAAGTGAGGAGGGATTTGCAGGCTCGGGGTCTGAGGGGGAGTCCTGGGCATAGTCACACAGTGAAGGGTGTAACAGCTTGGACACGCTGGGTGGGGTCAGTGCCCCCATGGCTAATGCAGTTCCTGAGGCCCCTGAGCTGTGAGACAAAGAGAATCTGGGCTCCAGGATGGCATGTTCTGGAATGTCCTTTATGTCTCTTGCTAAGAGGTAGAGAGAGAAGACAAGGCTATTGTCCCATTTCAGCATCACCAGCCCTGAGTGCAGGGTCTGGCCACAGCAGGGACACTGAGTTCCGGGAGAATCCAAGACACTTGCGGTCCCCTCAGTGTCCTAAACCTGTGCCTGGCCCTGCTTCCCCTCTGGGGCCTTAACCCTTCCTCTCAGCAAACCCCCACGATCTGGTTCCTTCCCTGGGCCCTCAGTTGCTTTCCTGCATCCCTGGGTCAATGTTCTCCCAGCCCAGCATCAACCTGAGGGTCCTTCCCCTCTGGTCAGGACAGATGTGGCTTTGTAAGGTCTTCAACCCCCTTACCTGGCTCAGCTCCTGCTACAGAACCCATGGAGAAAGGAGATCCCCATGCCCCTCTTTGGAAACAGGGTCCCCTCTTCATCCCCTGTTCTAACTCCAAAGTTTGGCTTTTAATCTTGCACTCCTCACAAGTAAGCCTGACCTTTCCTAGGGCCAGTGGCCTTTAGAGAGCAGCTCCCCGGTGTCCCTTCAGCCTGGGTGTGGCTGGGAACCCCTAAGCCTGGCCCACAGTGTCCACTCCTGCCAGTCACCCTCTGAGGTCCTCTGATCCTTTCCATGGGGCTCCAAGGAGTCTCATAAAACATCATTGCAGGGAACCCCGACTGGCCAGGTCAGCCCTGACCTGTGGGCTCTTGGTCATGGGCCACCTCTGCAAACTCACTTGCTCACTTGGCCCCTAAAATGGCTGGACGGTCTCTCCTGGTAAGAAGCCCCTTCTCCCTGATTCTCTGGGAGTTCAGGACCCCAACACCCTCCTCTGTGAGGGGCCCAGGCTCTCCTCCCACCCTGCTACTGACTCGTGTCTCTGTCCCCCAGGCCATGGTCCCTCAAACAGCTCCACCTACCCTGTAAGCCCATCCCCTCCCCAGCCCCTTTCTAATGGGGTCCCAGCAGTGCAGGTTCAGGGTAGAGGGACCATCAACCCCACAGCATAGCACAAACCCACCTTTCCCCAGAACAGTCAGGTCAAAGTGAGTGCCTCCAGCCAGGATCCAGGCCTCCCTACAGGGCCAGGACCACCCACGCCCTGTGCTGACCCCACCCCGGGACCCTCCACTGCCTGAGAAGACCCCTGGAGCCCAGTAGGTGCAGAGCGGACACTGGGAGCATCAGTCAGGGGCCCACATTAACAAGGGTACAGGGTGGGCCCAGCCAGGACAGGGGTCGGGGTGCTGTGTCCACACTGGGAGGCTGAGCTCAGGGGCAGAGCTGGTCACTCCTGAGGGGAAATGACCAGAAGTAGACCCAGGGAAGTAAGTCCTGGCCAATCAGAGACAGGAACCTTCCAGGCTGGGCCTCCATGACCCTCCCTCCCTGTCCCCTGACATGCCCTCTCTCCCCTGCCCAGGCCCCCACTACCCAGCCCCAGGACAGCCGCTGTCATCTATGAGGTAAGTGTGGGTCACAGATGTTCTGGTCCCACAGGCCCCAGGGGGACCGAGGATCTGCCCCCACCCACACCTGGCTGAGCTCTGAGATTCAGGAAACTGCAAACAGGAACAAGGGATGGTGACCAGATGAGGAAGGGGCCTGGGAACAGGAACCCCCTGAGCCACAGCCAGGTTCAGTCCCAGAGCAGCCCTGGGTGGGCCCAGAGCCTGGGAGACACCAGACTCTGTTCTGAGAAGGCCACAGGGGTCAAGGCCTCTTTTGGGTTTTTTTTTTGTTTTTTTTTTTCAGGACTCGTTAAACCATGACACAAATATTTACTGCTGGGTCAACCACAAAGCAGATGTGGTTTCTTAGGTTCCTCTGGGAGCTGCTCCTGTGGGTCGATGTGGCGTCCCCGACCCCCAGCCCTGGGGATGGGGAAGGACATGGAGCCTGAGACGGAGAACCAGCTCTGAATCCTGAGGAGACACAGGCCTGGGGACAGGGAGGGATGAGGGTCCCTGCTGAATATCTGGAGACCCTGACAGGCTGCCCTAGGCTCTGGGTGGGCCAAGACAAAGGCCTCCCATCACCACAGGAAGCGGGGGCTTTTGCAGGGAAAGTGAATGGGCCTGTGGCCCACTCAGGGTCACCCAGAAAGGATATGAATAAAGAGGACCCTTCCTCTCATTGGCTCTTTTTCTGCTCATGGGAACTTAGAAACTCACCTGAAACTCCATGTCCATTCTCTCCCGGGTCACACAGGGAAAATATCTCCACCTTATCTCAACCCCAGTCTTTCTTCCCTGGGAGACATGAGTAGGGGGTTGGGACTCAGGCTGGAGTGGACCCTACACAGGAAAGGGTGGGATTCCCAGGAGCCCTGCCCAGCCAGCCGAGCGCTCGGCTGTCCTCACACTGCCCCAGGGACCAGGGCCATGCACAGCCCCAGCCTGGCTCCCTCTGTGAATGCACAAGGTGTCTCAGGAGCGCGGAAGTTGGGGCCATCTGATGTCCACACAAAGGTGAGCAATGCAGGAGCGTCCATGGGTGGTGCAGATCATGGGTGTGACCCCCACATAGCCTCCAGTGTCCTGAGCCCTCCTGCCCTCTTCACCCAGGCCCTGGTGGCCCATCTATCACTGTCCTCTGCAAATGAGCTTGCCTGTTCCCAAATCCAGGATCCTGGATACTTAGCCCTGGCCACCAGGTTCTCTGTCCCAGTGGCTACTGCTCAGGACATCTTGACTCTGGTGGGACACAGAGAGGGGCTGTCAGAGTAACCAAGGTGGGGACAGACCAAGAATTCAGTCCTTGAGCAAGGTCCTCCCAGGCACTACCCAGGACTCTAGCCACTCACTTCCCATCAGTTCCCAATTTACCCCCTGGCGTGGATCTGACTGAGCAAGCCTCCTCTCCACACAGGAGCATCCAGGTCAGAGGAGCAGGGCTCCCCAGCCTAAAGCTCATGCAGGCTCCCATGGGGATGGGACAACCTGTTTGCTCCTCTACCTGGCCCCGCAGACCCCTCCAGCCCTGCCTCACCTGCAGCTCCTCCACACACCTGGGCCAGTTGTTCTCAGCCCTTCCCTGAGGGCCCCTGGAAGGGTGACAATCTCATGTAAGTTTACTTGGACCAGGCGGCCCCTTCCCACAAACAAGCCAGTCCCTGCACTAAAGCACAGAACCACGGTTCCCAAGGGTGTTCTGCCACTGCCACAGGTTCTTCATCTTGAGATGAGAGGTAAGAAAACAACTAGTAATGGGTTAATTTACATCAGAATTTACATCAGGATTTAACTCTAAATGACCCCTGATCCCACCTGCACACACCATCAGATGAGGAAAGGTGACACCTCTTTAGTTTCTTGTTGATGCTGTGACAAGTTACTACAAGCTTAGTGACAAGGGGCCCTCATGGCTGTGTGCCTTCTGGAAGCCCCAGGTCAGAATCCGTTTCCTCTCCTTTTCCACCTCCTAGAGGCTGCCTACATCTTTGGTTGTGTCCTTTTTCTCCATCTTCAAAGACAGCAGTGCAGCATCTTGAAACCACTCTGTCCTCTGCTTCTGTCTCCACATCTCCACCCACTCCTGCCTCCCTCTCTTACTTATAAGAAAGGGGCCTTGTGGTTATTTTGGATGCAGCTTGGATAAACCACAATAATCTCCCTGTATTAGTCCATTTTCATGCTGCTGATAAAGACATACCTGAGACTGGGCAATTTACAAAAGAAAGAGGCTTAATGGACTTACAGTTTCACATGGCTGGGGAGGCCTCACAATCATGGCAGAAGGTGGAGGACCAAGTCATGTCTTACACAGACGGCAGCAGGCAAAAAGAGAGAGCTTGTTCAGGGAAACTTTTTCTTATAAAACCATCAGATCTCATGAGACCCACTCACCATCACAAGAACAGCATGGGAAAGACCTGCCCCCATGATTCAATTACCTCCCACCAGGCTCCTCCCACAACATGTGGTAATTCAAGATGAGATTTGGGTGGGGAACACAGCTAAACCATGTTATTCCACCCCAGCCCCTCCCAAATCTCCTGTTCTCACATTGCAAAACCAATCGTGCCTTCCCAACAGTCCCCCAAAGTCTTAACTCATTTCAGCATTAACTCAAAAGTCCACAGCTCAAAGTCTCATCTGAGACAAGGCAAGTCCCTTCTGCCTATGAGCCTGTAAAATCAAAAGCAAGTTGGTTACTTCTTAGATACAAAGGGGAGTACACACATGGTAATTACAACCATTCCAAATGGGAGAAATTAGCCAAAACAAAGAGGCCATAGGCCCCATGCTAGTCTGAAATCCAGTGGGGCAGTCAAATCTTAAAGCTCCAAAATGATCTCCTTTGACTCCATGTCTCACATCCAGATCACACTGATGCAAGAGGTGAGTTCCTATGGTCTTGGGCAGCTCCACCCCTGTGGCTTTGCAAGATACAGCCTCCCTCCTGGCTACTTTCATGAGTTGGCATTGAGTGTGTCTGCAGCTTTTCCAGGCACATGGTATAAGCTGTCAGTAGATACACCATTCTGGGGTCTGGAGGATGGTGGCCCTCTTCTCACAGCTCCACTAGGTAGTGCCCCAGTAGGGGCTCTGTGTGGGGGCTCCAACCCCACATTTATCTTCTGCACTGCCCTAGAAGAGGTTCTCCATAAGGGCCCTGCCCCTGCAGCAAACTCCTGTCTGAGCATCCAGGTGTTTCCATACATCTTATGAAATCTATTTGGAGGTTCTGAAACCCCAATTCTTGACTTATGTGCACCCATAGGCTCAACACCACATGGAAGCTGCCAAAGCTTGGGGCTTGCACCCTCTGAAGCCATGGCCCAAGCTCTATGTTGGCCCCTTTCAGCCACAGCTGGAGCAGATGGGATGCAGGGCACCAAGACTCTAGAGTGCACACAACACAGAGAACTTGGGCCCAACCCACGAAACCACTTTTTCCCCCTAGGCCTCTTGGGCCTGTGATGGGAGGGGCTGCCATGAAGACCTCTGATGTGCCCTGAAGACATTTTCCCCATTGTCTTGGGGATTAACATTCAGCTCCTCATTACTTATGCAAATTTCTGCAGCCAGTTTGAATTTCTCCTCAAAAAAATGGGATTTTCTTTTCTATTGCATCATCAGGCTGCAAATTTTCCAAACTTTTATGCTCTACTTCCCTTATAAAACTGAATGCCTTTAACAGCACCCAAGTCATCTCTTGAATGCTTTGCTGCTTAGAAATTTCTTCCACCAGAGGGCTGGGCACGTTGGCTCATGCCTGTAATCCCAGCACTTTGGGAGGCCAAGGTGGCCAGATTACCTGAGGTTGGGAGTTCAAGACCAGCCTGACCAACATGGAGAAACCCCATCTCTACTAAAACTACAAAATTAGCCAGATGTGGTGGCACAAGCCTGTCATCCCAGCTACTCAGGAGGCTGAGGCAGGAGAAACACTTGAACTCAGGAGGCAGAGGTTGCAGTGAGCTGAGGTTGTGCCATTGCACTCCAGCCTGGGCAACAAGAGTGAAACTGTGTCAAGAAAGAAAGAAAGAGAGAAAGAGAGGGAGAAAGGGAGGAAAGAAAAAGAAAAAAAAAAAAAAAAAAAAAAAAAAAAAAAAAAAAAAAAAAAAAAAAAAAAAAAAAGAAAGGAAGGAAGGAAGGAAGGAAGGAAAGAAGGAAGGAAGGAAGGAAGGAAGGAAGGAAGGAAGGAAGGAAGGAAGGAGAAAGAGAGAAAGAAAGAGAGTGAAAGAAATTTCTTCCACCAGATACCCTAAATCATCTCTCTCAAGCTCAAAGTTCCACAGATCTCTAGGGCTGGGGCAAAATGCCACCAGTCTCTTTGCTAAAACATAACAAGAGTCACCTTTGCTCTAGTTCCTGACAAGTTCCTCACTTCCATCTGAGACCACCTCAGCCTGGACTTTATTGTCCATTTTGCTATCAACATTTTGGGGTATCTTTTCAGCAGCACTCCACTCTACTGGTACCAATTTACTATATTAGTCTGTTTTCATGCTGCTGATAAAGACTTACCTGAGACTGGGCAATTTACAAAAGAAAGAGGTTTAATGGACTTACAGTTCCACATGGGTAGGGAGGCCTCAAAATCATGGCAGAAGGGAAGGAGGAGCAAGTCATGTCTTACATGGATGGCAGCAGTCAAAAAGAGAGCTTGTACAGGGAAACTCCCCCTTATAAAACTATCAGATATCCTGAGACCCACTCACCATCACAAGAACAGCATGGGAAAGACCTGCCCCCATGATTCAATTACCTCCCACCAGGCCCCTCCCACAATACATGGGAATTCAAGATGAGATTTGGGTGGGGACACAGCCAAACCATATCACTTCCCATCTCATGAACTTTCCTTTAATCTGTAAAGTGTCTTTTACCATGAGACTTATTCACAGATATGGAGATGAGGATGTGCACAATCTTTGAGAGGCTCTTGTGCTGTTCATCACTCCTTTCAAGGCCATTTTCTCATCATCATTCATTACAAACTACACATGTGTATCTGGATGGGGTCATCCTGACTTTGGTGTCAGTTCCTGTAGTGATGTCCCCAGCACCCTCCAGGTCCTGAGAGAGAGACAGACAGAGGGCTCTTCATGCCCTTAGTATCTCTCTATCTTCTCTTTGGTGACATGCTCAGTTGTTAAGAATAAAAGAAAGCAGAAGTAAGTGGGAGATCACAACTCACCAGCTCTTCAACAGTTCATGGACATCAGCACCCTGGACAGTGACCCAGGGCCCTCATTCCCAGGCACCACAGCAGGCAGCACATGGATGGGAAGAGACTTTGGGGAAAGCTGCCTGTATTAGTCCGTTCTCAAGCTTCTATAAAGAACTGCTGGAGACTGGGTAATTTATAAAGGAAAGAGGTTTAACTGACTCACATTCAGCATGGCTGGGAAGGCCTCAGGAAACTTACAATCATGGCAGAAGGGGAAGCAAACATGTCCTTCAAATGGCAGCATCAATGAGAAGAATGAGAGCCAAGCAAAGGGGGAGGCCCTTTATAAAACCATCAGATCTCATGAGTACTTACTATCACGATAATAGCATGGGGGAAGCCACCCCCATGATTCAATTACCTCCCACCAGGTCCCTTCCACAACATGTGGGGATTATGGCAATTACAATTCAAGATGAGATTTGGGTGGGAACACAGCCAAACCATATCATTGCCCATTCTATTCCACATGAGAAAGATGCAATGAGGGAGAAACATTTGTTGCATGTGCCTGGACATTAGGGTTGTAGGCACATCTGTTGCCACTCCCTGCAGGGCTGAGTGCTGCACCCAGGGTGTGGTCTCTGGGAGGATGAGTGCCTGCTCCTGCCTCATGATGCATCTTCCTGCAACTGACACTCAGGCCACTGTCTGCCTACAAAAGGGGGGAACTTTTCATGATTAACATTTGACCTCACACATCACCCAGCCTGGAGCACCCCGAATACAGCATCCTGCTCCTCCAGCCCCAGCTGAGCCACTGGGAAGTTGAGCTGACCCAAGCCCCTGGGTTCCTCTACCAGCTCCCCCAGGCTAAGCCTTATCACCCCCATCTTGCTCATTCCTGCTCACATCACACCCACAGAGAAGACTCTGGTCTTACAGCCCATCCCTGCCCTTACAGGGACTCAGGTCCAGCCAATCCAGTGTCCCTGTTGGGCACACACAGCACTCAGAATCCCCAGTGTAAGGGTTGTCTGTGGGCTGGGGGTGGGGGGATCCTGTAACTTGCATGGGTCAGAGCCCTGCTCACATCCCACATCTGAGCAGTCACCAGGGTCCTCTCTACCCTGCCCTCATATCCAATGTCTCAATGACTCACTCAATGTCCTGGGTCACGCCTGTCATCTCTCCTGGACACAGTCACAGCTCCTGACAGGAAGAGTTGAGGTTCAGTCTCTCCAGGAGTCCCTCCCACTCTGACCACTTGAACCTGCTCAGCCTCATCTGACCCTCCCCTCACCAGGGCCTTGTGCTCTGGATCCCTGGATACCTGGGTCCTTGTCAGGCAAACATCATAACAATAACAACCATCTGAACCCTGAAACTGTCACCCAAGGCACATGTGAGACACCTGTGGCTTCACACACCTGAGGCTTCACTGTAAAGAGGCTTCCTCATCTCTTTCCTCTCATCCCTAGGGACAGTAAGCACCACAGGCTGCCTCGGACCACCAGCCGCTTCCCCCAGACACAGCATCAGATCTATACTGACCCTCTACATGGAGAGGCTTTGGGGAACAGCAGATGCTAGGAAATCCCACTGACCCAGGTGTCACCCACAGCCCCACCCCTCCTCATATCAATGGCGGGGACAGATACACATAACACACCTCTGCTCACGCCCAGCCCCCAAGGTCAATTACTGTCTGCTTCTCCCTTGACCCACTACTCCCCATGTCTTCCCTCCCCAGCTGCAGCCTGGATGGCCTCACTGCTGTTCTTGGTCCATGAAGGCAAGTTCCAACCTCTGCATCGTTCCCTTCCCTTCCTTTCCCTTCCCTCCCCTCCTCTCCCCTCCCCTCTCCATCCTTTCCCAGGAGCCCACATCAGCCTGTCCACCTGCCTTACAGCCAAAGTCATCAGCCACTTGCTCCCTTCCACCTTCCCCCACCCTGTACATGGAGGTGACAGCCCCTCCTGGAACACCCATCACTCACTGTCAGCCTTCAGTGGTAATCACAGGTTCTGCAGGGGTCACCTGTGCTCAGGTGTGTCGCCTGTAGGCCAGAACTCTTAGAAGGACCAGCAGAGGGAGCTGCTCAGGACATCTCAGGGATCCTGGCATCTGGTCCACCACAGGGACATAATCAACAGCACTTAGTGAAAGGGTAAGTGGTAGATGACTAAGTGCAAGTGAAGACGGTGTGTGGGCAGAGGTAGGCACAGGAATACAGGCACTTTCCACTCTAATCATTATTCCAAGAAACGTAGGGATACTGGAGATGGACATTTTCATATATTCCTGATGACATCGCAGTACTTACAACAACGTTGGCCCATGATTTTTTTTGG